AAAAACCACTGTCTTGCCCTGACCGGTTTGGCTTAGTTAGATAGAGCATCGGCCTGCAGACTCAAGGGTCCCAGGTTCGATTCTGGTCAAGGGCATGTACCGTAGTTACGGGCACATCCCCAGTCGGGGGTATGCAGTGGGCAGCTGATCGATGTTTCTCTTTCATCAATGTTTCTAACTCTCTATCCCTCTCCTTCCTCTCTGTAAAAAATCAACAAAATATATATTCCAAAAAACCACTATCTTGCTGGCAGCCCTTGCAGAATCTGGAATCTCTACATCCCAGTCTTCTCTTCTCCAGATAAAATCATCTTAATCATCCTAACTTCCCTTTCTGGAAGCCCTCTCCATGCTCCCATATATACCATCCAGCTTTGAAGTCTTTCTTTATTTTTAATTTATTTTATTTTTTTAAAATTTTTTTGTTAATCCTCCCTGAGGATATCTTTCCATTGATTTATAGAGAGAGTAGGAGGAAGAGAGAGAGAAGGAGAGAAACACTGGTTGCCTCCTGCACGGAGCCGTGGGGCCGGGGATTGAGCCTGCAACTGAGGTATGTGCCCTTGATCGGAATTGAACCTGGGACGCTTCGTTACGCAGGCCCATACTCTACCCACTAAGCCAACCCGGCTAGGGCTTTTTCTTTTCTTTATTTTTTTTTAAATTGATTTTTAGAGAGGGAGAGGAAAGGAGAGAGAGAGGTTTATTGTTCCAGTTATTTGTGCATTCATTGGTTGATTCTCTTTTTAAAAATATATTTTATTGATTTTTTACAGAGAGGAAGGGAGAGGGATAGAGAGTTAGAAACATCAATGAGAGAGAAACATCGATCAGCTGCCTCCCGCACACCTCCTACTGGGGATGTGCCTGCAACCAAGGTACATGCTCTTGACCGGAATCGAACCTGGAACCTTTCAGTCTCCAGGCCAATACTCTAACCACTGAGCCAAACCGGTTAGGGAGCATTGGTTGATTCTTTTATGTCCCCTGACCAGAGATTGAACCCAGAACCTTGGCATATCAGGACATTACTCTAATCAACTGGGCTATTTGGCCAGGGCTCCTGAAGTGTTTCCTTTGTCTCGGGTACAACACTTCATGTTGTACATAACTAAATAAGCCATCTTCTTCACTTCACATGGTAAAGCATATTTTATACTCCTTTTCATAACAGTTATTCTGAGAGTTTTAATGGACCATATAAATTACAAAGTCTCAGAATTGCATTTTTTAAATTAAATATATTTTATTGATTTTTTACAGAGAGGAAGGGAGAGGGATAGAGAGTTAGAAACATCGATGAGAGAGGAACATCGATCAGCTGCCTCCTGCACACTCCCTACTGGGGATGTGCCTGCAACCAAGGTACATGCCCTTGACCGGAATCGAACCTGGGACCCTTGAGTCCGCAGGCTGAAGTTCTATCACTAAGCCAAACTGGTCAGGGCAGAATTGCATTTTTAAGTTTTCTCTACCTACTAAAAAAAGAGTGCCTCCTTTATGATATATGCTAATTCAGGACCTGGTTCATTTGTCCTAGTAAGTAACAACAAACTTCCCTTGAAAAGGACTAGAAGATTTTATATATGGCCACTTGATTCTAGCTTTGCCCCTATAAGAAATGCTCAATCCTTCTTCTTCTTTTTAATATACTTTATTGATTTTACAGAGAGAAAGGGAGAGGGATAGAGAGTTAGAAACATCGATGGGAGCGAAACATCGATCAGCTGCCTCCTGCACACCTCCTACTGGGGATGTGCCCGTAACCAAGGTACATGCCCTTGACCGGAATAGAACCTGGGACCTTTCAGTCTGCAGGCCGGCACTCTATCCACTGAGCCAAACCGGTTAGGGCAGAAATGCTCAATTCTTGACCAAATCATTCTGAAACTGGCAAAGCCCATGAAACATAAACCTCTATGCTTTTGTATAAGAAAAGTATCTACACTTGAATAGAAATGTTGTGCTTTTTAATTAATAAGTTTAAAATGTTGACATTGGTGAACGTCTAAAAAACTAGAAGAATCTCTGAAACAATCATTTGATTAATGCTCCATGAAAACATCATGCAGCTCTGACTGGTGTGGCTCACTTGGTTGAGCATTGCTCCATGCACCGAAGGGTGGCCTATTGAATTCCCAGTCTGAGCATGTGCCCAGGTTGTGGGTTTGGTCTCTGGTCAGGGTGCATGCAGAAGGCAACTGATGTTTCTCTCTCACATCAATGTTTTTCTCTCTCTCTCCCTCTCTCTTCCTCTCTTTCTAAAAAAAATCAATAAAAACATATTTTTAAAAAAAACATCATGCAGCTCAACTCTCTATATTTTACAAACGAAAAAGCAGAAGTCTAGAAATGTGATGTGACTTGTCTGAGGCCACAAAGCATATTAGTACCCTATGTCTCCAGTGGGAAGAGCCTATAAAGTCACCTGGGGATAACTAAGTCTTTGGAAAGAAGGTAGAGGTCGCTGAAAATACAGCTTCCTTGACTGGAGCACCTAGAAAAGGCTTTCTAAATGAGTAGCAATGTGCAGGTGTCAGAGGGAATAGAGATAGTTGGTAATCTGTCTGTACCTAAGTGGGAAAGAGAACTCAAGGCTTCTCTCAAGAGAGAAAGATCCCTGCAATGGTTCCAAAAAAAGAAAAGGTTTTGCTGGCTGAGAATGAATAGGAGAGCCTGGGTGAGAAACCCCTGAATGGAAGAAGGGCTGCAGAGTGCTTCCTGGGAGACAGAAGCGCATCTCTGCTTTTCTGGGTGGAGATACACAGCTTGGAACCTGAGGCTTGCAAAAGCTATATTAAGACTGAAGTAGAAAGTAACAAACAGGTCCCTCTTAAGTATCTCAGGTCCTCAGACTCTGGGGTGGGGTGGGGATGGGGGTCAGCCTGGAGCTGAAATTGAAACCCCCTTGCCAACATCCTATAACATCTTCTCTCAGAACTTCAGCTCCCACGTCTGGGGCATAGGGACTCTGGGATGGGGTGGACCTTGGCCCTGGGAGAAGGCAGAATTACCTGATCTTACGCCTGGGTCCAGGAGCCACAGAATAATGTCCTAAAATATGGGAAGCCTGAAAACAGAGCCCAAGTACCAGGATGCCCCTATTTTGGAGCTTCTCAGACCAGCTTTAGAAAGTTCTTTTATCCTCTTTTGTCAAACACTTCCAACCCCAGAACTTGGCATGCTCTTCAAATCCTGCTCCCATTCCTGAATCACTATTTCAAATCTGTATCTAGGTGACATGTGGCCATGCATAAGATGGCCAGTTTCAACACAAGGAGCTACAGAATGTCAGAGCTGGACTTCATTTTATAGAGAAAAGGAGTTAGCACTAGAAAAATTAGCTCAACTGCCAGAGTCACCTAAAATTAAGTGGCAGAACTAGGATAACAACCAACATCTCCACATGACCAGCTCAGAGATTTCACCAAGACTCTGCCCTTAGAAAGGGCTTTCACTAGGAAGCAGGTTAAAGCAAGGCTAAGAATCAATGAAGAATATCAAAGTTTTGTCTCTCCCTTCCATCATTTCTGATTCCTCCATATCCCACAAAACAGCTTTTCTTTCTTATTTTCTCTCTTTTCCCCATCCTCTACTTGACCCATACCTTTTCTTTTCCCCCCAACTCACTCTTTTCTCTCCTGTCCTATCTGCCTCTCTACTTGCTCACTTGTCAGCTTCTCTTTGTTCTCTTGTCATCCTTCTCCCCATCATTTCATCCTCTCTCTTTTCTGGTTCTCAACCCATGAGGATTTTGAAACTGTGGTCCAATAGCACATCCCTCCTCCACTCAACCTCACTTTCCCCGTATCCCAGGAGACTAACTAAACAAACTGCCCAGAGAATGCAACTTAGAACCCAAGTGTTCTAGGTCTCGGTGTTTCCTCTGGTATCTGAAGGTAAATTGGGAAGGATGCTCACAGCTGGTGCAAGTGTGGTTAGAAAAGACACAAAAGATTTGGGAATAGGAACAAGAGGCTGGGAGCAGAGGATGAAGACTGTAAGAGAGACTGGTCTTAACTGTTCCCTCATGGACACACATGTGGAGATCTTCAAGGGTACAAATAATTTCCTCTATAATACAGATGAGAAAACAGAGAGAGAAAAAAATGAGGTGGGAAGTGGCCAGGTCTTCCAAGCAAGATTGGGTCTTCAACTTCCAGGTAACTTATGGGAGACATGGCAGAATTGTCAACGGCATTACAGTGGGATTCAGGGTGTCTCCGGTCTCCCTGAGGAACAGGAAGGAAGAGAACCATTCTGTCTACTCTTTTTTTCTAAGTAGTTACATTTTGTCTACTCTTTTGCTTCTGAGCAGGATTATGCCTGGTTCATGTAGAGAGGACAGAATGCCCCTAGACATAGGTCCTAGCCCTCAGAATGTCAGAGTTTGAAGACTTTTTATAACACATATAATCCAGAGGTTCATGGCTACATCAATATTCCTTGGAGAGGGTCTTATAACAGAGATTCCTTAGCCCACAATCTACCAGATCAGAAATTCCAAGAATGGGGCTTAGGTAGATTTATTTTTATCAAGCACCTCTGACACACAGGCAAGTCTGGGAAACCCTAAACTCCCTCTTATCACAGATCAGGAAGTTGGGGACCAAAGTCACCTACCTGATTGATGGCAGTCAGGACTAGAAGCAAGTTCTCTTCCCAGAACAGCACTTGGGCATGCCAACGAACGGTCTTGGTCCAGTGAGCAGGCGAAGAACGAGGTATAGAATTCAAACCCTGGCTCTTTCCAAGGAAGTCTCATAACTCTCTATTACCAGGGGTTCCTATACTCCATCAGGGCCATGGCCAACCCTCATTTGATAATCCTCAACAATCCATTAATGAATCTATGCTAAAGCACAGTTATTCCAATTCTCTCTCTCCTTACTATGATGGGGCTACCTCTAAGTGGCAGCCCTGGGTAGCTAAAAAGTCCCATATAAAGAGGTGATTGACCCGAGCCAGCAGGAAAACTGTAAGTCAAAGAGGATAAGCTAGAGAGAACCAGAAGGCTAGAGCCTTGTTCTGGCAAAGGAGTCCAGGGTGATATATATATTATCCTCGCCTGAGGATATGTTTATTGATTTTAGAGAAAGAGGAAAGGGGAGAGAAACATCGATGTGAGAAACATCAGTCAGTTGCCTCCCGTATGCGCCCCGACTGAGGATCAAACCCACAACCGACGCAGGTGCCTGGACTGGGAATCGAACCCACACTTTTTGTGAACTTGTGTACGGGATAATTCTCCAACCAACTGAGCCACCCGGCCAGGATGAGACTGCAATTTAATCAAGGCATGTAGAAGGCAGACCTAGGGACTCAGGCAGGACAGAACATGGAAGAGAGGCTGGTCAGAGCCTCCAGGCCCTTACCGTGTGCAGGATAGCAGTCCTGTGTCTGTGAGCTCTGCAGTGCTTGCTCTCCACTGTGGGATGAGGAAACCCAGCCGGCTCCTTTTCTCCTTTGCTCCTCTTGCCCTCGCTGGCTTTCTCCCCTCCTCTACTGCAGTTTGCTGCTGTGACTGGCAGAGTTACAGCCAGAAGGAAGGAGTGGGGTGGGGGGAAGTGTGAGCTATCTTCAGTCCAGCCCACCCAACTCTTAAAGGCCCAGGACACTGGTCAGTGAGGGAGTCGTGGGGATAGAGTGGGTAGAAAAGGATTAAGGGGAGGGATTGGAGCACCACATCTCCAGGGAGGAGGAGCCTGACTGCCCTTCATCTTGGTGCCAGCCCTCGCTGACCCCAATCCAGACTCAGCTCTCAAAGTGAAATCCAAGGAGTGTCTGAGTTGCAGTGCTCCATGAATCACGGCTTTTCATTCTGGTTGGTTTCTCTGCATGTTATACAGCTGTCTTTGCCCTTATTTCCTCTGGCTTCGTTCCATGGTGTCCGTTTCCACCAGCCTGCCTGCTTCTGTATGTCTGCATGCTGCCTTGCAGGGCACTCAGTCTAGCTTTGCGGTGCAGTGAAAGAAAAAAAGGAATAAGATGGAAAAGGAAGATGAGGAGAAAGGGAGGAGAGGAATGATCTTTAGAGTGTAGGGAGACAGGTTTGTATCTTTGTATATATAATAGGCACTCGCTAAATACTTAAGGAATGTATACAGGAATTCATTTGTTCTTCCTTTACATTCATTCATTCTATGAGCATTTGCTCAGCACCTCCAATGTGCAAGGACATACATGCATGTTTATAAAGATGTGTGTGAAGCAGACTCACCGTGTGTAAGAATCAAGGGCAAAAAGAGAAGCACAAGACTGGAAAGACCCAGCTAGGAAAGGAAGGTAATGAGCTTCTTATATAAGGGTGAATGAATAGTCAGCTGAAACAGACACCAAGATTGAGGAAAGAGGACTAAGTTAGGAGAGGAATGGGTGATTGTAAAGGGCTTTATTGTGGCCCCATACTTCACAGTGAGAAACTGAGGCCCAGGGAAGTTTAGGCAATGTCCTGGACTCATATATCATTAGCAAAGACAACTAGTCCCTTGCACTCTCCCAAGCACTGTGAGCTGGGACCTACTTTTGCTCTGCCTTGGAAAGACTGCAGGGTATGGCTCTTTCTGGACCAGTAGATGACAGTAAAATAGCTGAGGGCATAGGGCACAGCCCGGTGCTGGTTTGGACTTCTGTGGGATCCTTTTCCAGTGAGGTCTGTCTTAATTATGGGCACAGAGTGAACTAACTGTATAAAATGATGTGATTTTAAGTGTGCTGAGATCTGGCTGTCTCTGATGGCTCCCCCACATACCTCTCAGCCGCCTAATATTCTACCATTAGTGATTATTTATAGCTAAACTTTAGTCCCATTAAAATAAAACCCTTCTAAGTGATTACCATAAATGTCAGGATAGTGGTTACTTTGGGGAGGAGGTGGGAGTTGTGATGGAAAAGGCAGAGATATGGCTTCTGAAACAGCTGGCCAAGTTCTGTTTCCAGTTCTGGGTGCTAAAAAGGGTCTTCACTTTATAATAAATGAGAGGCCCGGTGCACAAAAGTTTGTGCACTGGCAGGGGAGGAGGGCTGGGGGTGTCCCTCAGCCCCACTTGTGCCCTCTCACAGTCTGGGACCCCTTGGGAGATGACCACCTGCTGGCTTAGGCTCGCTCCCTGGTGGCAGATGGCAGGCCCGATCCCTCGGTGCCTACTCCACCTCCCCAGGTCGTGCACATGGCAGGGCTGATCCAGGGGTTGGGGTGCTACCCCGGGTTGGGTCACACATGGGACACCCCGGGGGGGTCACACATGGGATGCCTGGATGGAGGCCGGGCAGGCTGGCCAATTGCTGCTGCACCCCCTGGCCGCCCGGGGTCGGGTCGCACATGGACGCTCGCCGCCCTGGGTCGCAGAAAGCAGGCCCAGATGGCGGCAGGGCAGGCGGGATGGCGCTGTCGAACCCTGCCTGCAGTATGCAAATTAGCCACCATCTTTGTTGGTGGCTAATTTGCATATTGTGCCGATGAGTCAATGGGAGGCGTAGTGAAGGTACGATCAATTACCATGTTTGTCTATTATTAGATAGGATTGTAGTTTGCTATATCTGTGTTATATTTTATAATAAGGTTTCAAATTTTTGCACCTGATAATTTCTAAAGCCTTACTGGTTTTTCACAATTTGTACCTAGGTTATGTTTACCATCCTTTAGTGAGAGCAGGTTTTGATAAAGGAAGAGGAGTGTACAGAGAGGGGAGGCAGAATGAGGCCATTACTGGGAACAGGAAGATTATGGGGGTATCAATATTTAAACTGTGCTGATCTCAGATTTTTTTTTTTAAAGATATATTTTATTGATTTTTTTACAGAGAGGAAGGGTGAGAGATAGAGAGTTAGAAACATCGATGAGAGAGAAACATCGATCAGCTGCCTCCTGCACACCCCCAACTGGGGATGTGCCTGCAACCCAGGTACATGCCCTTGACCAGAATCGAACCTCAGACCTTTCAGTCCACAGGCCGACACTCTATCCACTGAGCCAAACCGGTTTTGGCTGATCTCAGATTTTAATTAATAGAGGCCATGTCTCGCATGCTTGTCTCACTCTCCCATTTCTACTTCCTCAACATCATCATGTCCTTATTTTTCTATGCTTCCCCTTCACATTCCCACTCCTCCAGGATTATATATGGTCTGCCTCTTCCTAAGTGATTATTGGCTTCACCTTATTTCTGCCCAACCTTCTTCTCTTCTGGGTGTTTTATGAGGAGTACTCTCATTCAATCTGGATTTTCTAGGAGAGTCCAGATCTCAAATATTCTCTTTCAATGTCCTCATAAACAGTGCTCCCAGATCATATGTTCTGATTTTGGGGGCAGGCACTTGGAGACCTTCAAAGGTTAGAAAAGCTTCAAAGAGTGGCTTAGAAAACATGCTCATTGCAGGATGCTCTTTAGATTAGGGAGCAGATAGATGGCTCCAGGCACAGGAACTGTCCACCTCGTTTGGTTATTCCTATTCCCATAATGGTCCTGGCCCTTCCTCCACTGTTGGCTATTATTAACAGATCCAGAAACCTGATCACAGCAGCAGCAGCACAGAGACTTTCTGGGAACCAGGCCCAGGAAAGGACCAGAAGCCCTAAATTGAAGTGAAGGTTCAGCTGGCAGAGGAAGACCTAAACTCTACACTCACACTGCCATCCAGACAAGCTTAGACCCTCCTCCTGACACGAAGGAGTGACACCCTAAACATTTTTTCTTTTGGGAACAGTCAGGCTAGGGAGTCAGATACCAGTTTCCCAGCTCATCCAGCCAAACTACTCACACTTCTGAAGTAAAACCCATCTTCTTGATGGTCCAAAAAGTAACAAAAAATAGTAAATTTCACTTAAAAAATCATCAGTGAGAGTACATGTAGAATTAAAAGAATATATAACTTCAAAGGCCAGAGAATATATAGCCATCCCTTCATTCCAACAAAATTAAAAACAAACAAGAACACCCAGGGGAGGAGGAACAGGGAGGCATAAAATAAATGAGACTGAAATGATAGAAGCTAGAGTAAAAAAATACAAATAGTATATTCCATAAGAAACCTTTCAGAAAAGGTCATATAACAAAATACAAGTGTGTGCTATTAAGACTCATATCTACAAAAAGGTATTACTAAAAAGTTGAAATTTAAAGGACCACATCTGGGAATGGGAGGACTCCAATTTTCTTACTCAAGATTGCTTGGCTGTTTTGGCACTCTGCATTTCCATACACATTTTAGAATCAGCTTGTCAGTTTTCACAAAAATAAATCTGCTGGGAATTTAGTTAGAAGTGAGTTTAATCAGATCAATTTGAGAAAATTGGCTTTTTACACTACTGTTCTCCAATTCATGAAGATATATGTATCTCTCTATTAATGTAGGTTTCATTTAAGAACGTTCGTTCCATTGTTTTCAATGTAAAAGTTCTGCATGTCTTTTGATATATTTCTAGCTCTTTGATTTCTTATGCTATTATAAATGGTATTTTGAAACTTTATTTTCTATTGTATTTAGAAACAGTTGATATTTTTGAATATTGACTTTGCTGCAAAATTCACTTAATTCTAATAGCTTGTAGATTCTTTTAGATTTGTGTCTATAAATTTGTTGTCAGCATTTTTTCCCCCTTTGTAGTTTTATCACACTGTGTTATCACACTGGCCATAACCAGTATAACAAGTGGAGGTGTGTTATAAACATCTTTATCTTGTCCCTCATCTCATGAAGAATGATTTCAATACTTTATCAATAATGATTTCAATATGAGAGGTTTACGGTAGGGTTTTTGGGATACTTAAAAATATGTATTTTTTTATTGATTTCAGAGAGGAAGATAGAAACATCAATGATGAGAATCATTGATTGGCTGCCTCCTGCATGCCCCCTACTGGGAATCAAGCCTGCAACTTGGGCATGTGCCCTCACCTGGAATATAACAGTGACCTCTTGGTTCATAGGTTGACACTCAACCACTGAGCAACACTGGCCAGGCTATCATCTTTATATAATGCTAGATTTGATTTGTCTAGAAATTTTATGTCTATATTCATGGGATTTTGGCCCTTTTCTTAATATCCTTGATAGGTTTTGATGGCTGAGTTAATACTACTTTAAAAGTGAATTGGATGTTCCCTTTTTTCTAGTCTCTGGTAGTTAATGAGATTGGTGACTGTAAAATATGAAAATGTCCCTTTTTCTATTTCTAACATTGTTGATGTTATTTTTTCCTGATCAGTCTACTAAGGGTTTATCAATTTTATTATTTTCAAGGGAATGATATTTGGCTTTGTTGATTTTTATTGAACATTAGTTTTCTAATTTACTGATGTGCTTTTTTGGGTATCTTTCTGTTTTTTGAATTTGCTATTCCATTCCAGTTTCTTGACATGAAAACCTAGACCACTGACTTCAGCCTTTCTTTTATAATGTGTGAATTTAAAGTCACGTATCTCTTTTAGGCGAACCTGTTTGGCTCAGTAGCTAGAGCGTTGGCTTGTGGACTGAAGGGTCCCAGGTTCGACTCCGGTCAAGGGCATGTACCTTGATTGCGGGCACATCCCCAGTGGGGAGCATGCAGGACGCAGCTGATCGGAGTTTCTCTCTCATCGATGCTTCTAACTCTCTATCTCTCTCCTTTCCTCCCCCATTTTGTTTTTGCCCTCAACCAAGGTACATGCCCCTGACTGGAATTGAACCTGGGACCCTTCAGTCTGCAGGCTGATGCTCTAGCCACTGAGCCAAACTAGTCAGGACTATTATTTAAGTTTTTAACAATTGAATTTAA